ACCGTGTCTGAGGTGGCAGCCTTGTTTGTTGGAGACATTAATATGGATGAAGAGAGAGACATTATTAAGCAAAAACAAGGAGGAAAACTTAAACACATTGATGAGTTCCATGCTAGCTATCTCGATTTCCAATATCCTTTAATATTTCCATATGGTGAAGATGGTTATAGACCAAATGTTGCTCATAGAGATCTTGACATATTTGATGATAATCCAAGAAATAAGATGACTATTCGAGAATGGCTTGATTTTTGAATTCAAACACGGCTACAAGAAGGAAAAACAATTTTATCATCAAGGAGGTTGTTTCAACAATTTTTATTTGATGGTTACACAATGCTAGAAGGAGAGATGTTCAAATGGCTTAGAAACAACCAGTCTAAACTTAAAGTGTCTAAATATAAAAATCTAAATCAAGATGGAGATAAAATTCAAACCGAAGGTTCAAGTACCGGAAAAAGAGTCATTTTACCATCATCCTATGTTGGTAGTAGGAGATTTATGGATCAGTTGTACTATGACGGAATGGCTATATGCAGTAAAGTGGGATTTCCAGACCTATTTATTACTTTCACTTTCAACCCGAATTGGCTAGAAATTCAAAGAGATTTGAATCCTCTTAACTTGAAGGCACATGATAAACCTGACATCATTGCTAGAGTCTTTAAAATGAAGTTTGATAGCCTTTTGACAGATGTCACAAAAAAGGTGTTTTAGGCAAAGTCCTTGCTTGTAAGTCATATATACTTTCTATAAAACATATTTATTATTTCTACATTACTATTGTTTAATAGTTTCCATGTTTTATCAAATAATATTTCAGATATGTACACAATCGAATTCCAAAATAGAGGCTTGCTGCATGCCCACATCCTTATATTTTTGCATCCATCTAATAAATATCCGAACCAAATGATATCGATAAAATAATATCAGTTGAGGTTCTAGATCCTGTGAAACACCCAAGGTTGTATAATTTGGGGAAGAACCACATGGTACATGGACCTTATGGTTTGGAAAATCCTAAATGTCCATGCATGAAGAATGGAAAGTGTAGCAAGTTTTATCCAAAGAAGTTCCAAGATGTGACCATAGTCGATCAAGGTGGATATCCTATATACCTAAGAAGAGATAATGGGTATACAATTGAGAAGAATGGAATAAAACTTCACAGCGCTCATGTTGTACCCCACAATCCAAGTTTACTAATGAAGTATGAAGCACACATAAATATAAAATGGTGCAATCAAAGTACTTCAATTAAGTATCTCTTCAAGTACATCAACAAGGGTTCCGATAGAATATCGGCTATAATAGTTCCAACTGATAGCACAAGTGTCAGTGATGTTGACAAAATCAAACAATACATTGATTGTAGATATATGTATCCAAGTGAAGCATGTTGGAGAATCTTTTCATATTCTATTCATGGAAGGAAACCGACTACTGAAAGATTGTTTTTTCACTTGGAAGGAGAAAATTCAGTGTACTACAAAGACTTTGAACAAATTAGAAATGTCCTACTTAAAGCAAGTGTAACTGAATCAATGTTTACTTCATGGTTTGTTGCAAATAATGAATATGAGGAAGCAAAATTGTTGACATATGGGTAATTTGTCTCTAAATTTGTTTATGTCAAAAAAATAAGAACTTGGAAACCAAGGAAAAGAGGTTACACAACTGGTAGATTAGTTTGGGCCCCACCCTCATTAGGAGAATTGTATTATATGAGGATGTTGTTAATTGTTATAAAAGGACCAACAAGTTCTGATGATCTCAAAACTATTAAAGGTTTTAAACATAAAAGTTTTCGAGAGGCATGTTTTGTAATGGGGTTTCTACAAGATGACAAGGAGTTCATTGAGGAAATAAAATAGGTGTATAAGTGGGGTTCTGGTGTCTTTCTACGGAAACTCTTTGTTACAATATTGTTATCAGCTTCTATGAATCGACCTGATCATGTTTGGCGCAACACTTGGATTTACTTATTTAACGGGATACTATATGAACAAAGAGTTTTATCAATGAATCCAGGTACTTTATTTTATATCTAATTTTACTAATAGCATCATCTTTATGTTGTCTATATATTTTATTAATTTGATTACTATAACTTTTAAATTATAATTATCACTATCAGAGAAATAATTAAAACAACTTAGTTTGATGGAAATTGAGAAGCAATTAAAAAAAACAGAAGGAGCTTAAAAGATTTTAAGCCAATGCCGTATCCAGATGAGTATGTTATGGATTTTCTTGGTAATTGCTTGGTACATGATGAACGACAATATGATATTCCAACTGAGAAAGCTAAATTCCAAGATTTGTTTAAATCCTTAACAGGTAAATTCAATAACTATATTCATTTCTTAACTTGCATTTCTGGTCCTTATATTATATTCCATTATGAGGTTTTAGACAAAAAACATTTCCTTTTGATATTACTTACAATATCTGTTCATATATGTTATATTTCCTGTTATGTTTTTTTTACAAAATGCTGATCCTATATACTCATTTCCTTGCAAAATTTTATTTTAATTTAGTTACACTATGCAAACGTAGACACAATCCCAACTTAAAACAACATATGCATACTTATCATATTATGAAGCTTCACTGATGTAACCATTGAAATTACTTTTTTCTTTCTACAATAACTCTACAACATCCACTATTAACTTATACCATTAATGTTGCACCTAACTTTCTGCTACATTCTACCATTCCTTATAAAACATTAAATCTATTATCATTTTAACTACAACAATACAATTCCATTCATTAGGTCAATGAAACTTATTAATCTACCAACCTTTGACCTGCTAACTTAAATGTTTCATACCGTCCAACACATGATCTTACCTATTGCTACATATCAAAACCAAATTATCAACACACAAACTTATCATTTAAAATAACCAACATAGTTATCATAAAATTTCTAACGTAACTTCAAAATGTCTTCATATCAGTAGCAATATAAAACATACATCAACAAATGATCTTACCTATTGCTACATATCAGAAGAAAATTATCAACACACCAACTAATCACTTAGAATAACCAACATAATTGTCATACAATTTCTAACTTAACTTCGAAATGTATTCAAATCAGTTGCAATACAAAGCATATAACTAATACTTAAATCTTAAAACAACCACAATGATAAAAAATACCATTCACAAAATACTGCCCACTTTTTGACTCCAGCAAATTTTAACATCCGTCTATATAAATCCACATCATGTTAAATGCTTCGTTACAGACACATTCAACCTATCATACAGATTAACCAAAGTGAGGTGCACGACATCTCCTCTCTTTAATTGACGTCTTCTTGAAAAATCAGTCCAACCCTTCCAAATGAATTTTTCATCTTGATCCCTTTTTTCTTTAAGGACATCACATCCATATGGTCTTCTAGTGTCCAAGTCTAACATTTCGATACGCCACTGGCTCTATAATAAGCATTCTTCTGATGCGTGTCTGGGAAAATTCTGCTCATTAAATAAACTGTGTTTACACAAACATTTTATGAATATAAGCCTAGCTTGAAAAGTATTCAAATATCAAAATACCAACACATTCTTCAGGGATTTAGTAGCTAACTTTATTTTCATATCCTAATAATAATCTCCATTGTTGTTGTACCATGCTGCATTAGGATCATGTCCATAACTTTCTTCCGATGAGAAACTGTCATTGGAAGAAAGACTCTCCTCACTGGATTCGCTTGTGTAGCTGTCATCGCTTCCACTATAAAAATCAATGTGATAAAAATAAAGTATCATGTCAAATCAACCTTAACAGATTTATTTAACATAACACTTAACACTTAGTTGTTTTCAATATAACACTCAAACTATTTAACCACTCATTCATCACTTTGAATAAACATGAAACGTACTAACTATCAGTGAACAAAGGACATGTAAAAACCATGTTTCATATTTTTAGAGTATTACGGTGCACATGAAAACATCGGAAGAAAGTATAACATAACACATGCAAAAAAAGTTTCTTAGTTGAACCGATAAATAGATTTTCAGCAATATTGTTTGGGTGTACCTGCTACTCAAAGAAAGATAAATAGGTTGAGATGGGCCACCACTCATTTCCAAAATTGAATATTGAGAATCCAGTTTCACAGTTTTCAGAAAGATGGTATTCTCTTCTAAACAATAGTTATGTAGTGAGATGTATTTATTATCTCCTTTCAAAAGGAAAGTTATGGGTTTCAGAGGTGGGCCATTGGGTTGGACAAGTGTCTTTGGGGCCTTCACATATGTTGGACTCTCAACACAGAGCATTGACATACGTGTGGTGGTTTCACAATGTGTAGTGTTTATAAGTTACATATATTAAATGTATAATTTATAACCTCTTTTGTTATTAATTTATAACATATTTTGTTATTATAGTTTCATGTTTTTTCATGACTAACACACTAATTTTTTCCATGTCTTACAAAGATGAACAGATGCAAATTTTTAATGAAAGTTTTTTATATGGTTTTGGTGATACTGGAAAAACTTTCATGTGGAATACCCTTTCAGCAGCTTTACGTTCTAATCGCGATATTGTATTAAATGTTGCGTCAAGTGGTATAATGAGTCTACTTCTACCCGGTGGAAGAACAACACATTCAAGATTCAAAATTCCGGTTCCATGCATTGAAACATCAATTTGTGACATTTACAAAAAGGATGACCTTGCCGGTTTATTGAAAATTACTAAGTTGAATATTTGGGATGAGGCTCCTATGGCAAACAAGTGGTGTTTCGAATCTCTTGACAAGTCATTGAAAGATATCATGGGTACGAAAGATAATCCTTATGAATAAATATTTGGAGGGAGGATTGTGGTGTTTGGTGGTGAATTTAGGAAAATTCTACCAATTGTGCCGAGAGGAACCCATTCTAATATAGTTCATTCTACAATAAATTCCTCGTATATTTTGGAATATTTCAAGGTTTTAACACTCACAAAAAACATGCGTTTGGATTCAACATTAAATTCTTCAAATGCTCACGAGATTGAGAGTTTCTCTAAATGGATTTTAGATGTGGGAGATGGAAAAATCTCGGAACCAAATGATGGATATGTTGAAATTACTATTCCACCTAAATTTCTATTAACGAATTTTATGGATCCAATTGAGAAAATTGTTACAAGTACTTATCCAAACCTACTTGAGAATTTCACAAATCCAGATTTCCTCCAAAGTAGAGCTATTATAGCTTCAACTATAAAAATTGTGGATGAAATGAATGATTACATTACTAATATTCTTCCAGGTTACTATACTTTATACATGATTTAATCATTCTATTTTCATCTACCATTATAACTTTGTGACTCTAACTTTTTTATAGGTGATGAAAAGGAGTTTTTGAGTAGTGATACTATTGACAGATCAGAAGCAAATAGAAATGAGGCTTTCGAGCATTTGACTCCAGAGTTTTTAAGCTGTTTAAAAACATCTAGTTTTCCTAACCATTTCTTGAAATTGAAGATTGGCACAACTATTATGTTGATAAGAAATTTGGATCAATTAGAAGGACTTTGTAATGGTACAAGATTGACGGTAACAAGGCTAGCAAATAATGTCATTGAGACAAAGATGATTTCAGGTACACATATAGGAAATACTATATACATTCCTATAATGTCTTTGTATACTTCACAATCCCATTGGCCATTCAAACTTATTAGAAGACAATTCTCCATTATTGTTTCATTTGCAATGACAATAAATAAATCTCAAGGTCAATCATTAGACTATGTTGATTTATATTTTCCAACAGACGTCTTCAGCCATAGGCAACTTTATGTTGTAATGTCAAGAGTCAAAAGCAAAGCAGGTTTGAAAATCTTAATTCATGACAAAAAAGACAAATTGCCATTACATGAAACAATAAATATGGTTTTCAAAGAATTTTTCCACAATGTTGTATAGGTATTCACTTTTATGCTCAACCACTGTTTGTTATTTATACATTTATTACTATTATATATAGTTGTCATTTATAATACTAATGTCCTATTATTTTTCTCTACAATCTTCATATAATATTACACTACCAAGGATGATGTGTCACAATAACAATTAAAAGTGTAATCCTAAGAAACATTAAGGTATATGTGCTCATGTACACTCATATTTATTATTGTTTCAAAAACAACAACATTTTGGGATTTATCTTTTATATCTCAATAGCACTATCATTATATTAAAATTATTCTTATTCTTATATTTATATTCATTTCAGGAGTCAATCAAAAACTTGGAGATATTGTGTCATTTTGTTTTGAAGTTATTTCAAAGACACTTTTTTATTATTGTTGTTATATTTTTCTTTAAGAATTGAGATATTGTTGTTCTCAAATACAAAAGAACTTAATATTTATTTCATATATACTATATTTTGTAAATCTTAATTCAATTTCTTTCATTTGGAATGTTAAAGGTTTTAAATTTCTTTTGTACTACAATATACACCTTAAGATATGTACTACAATATACGTTTTTCTTTCTCGTGTTACGTATATGTATATATTATATAACAATAATATATATTATATATATATAAATAGTTTATAATATATATATATATATATATATATATATATATATATATATATATATATATATATATATATATATATATATATATATATATATATATATATATATATATATATATATAATATATATATATATATATATATATATATATATATATATATATATATATATATATATATATATTATAATTAATAGTGTGATTAATTATATAATCGGTTATGGTTTATCGATGAAACTTGATATTTTGTTTTCGACTGGAGATTAATTAAATCGTTGATGTGTGGTAGATTTGAAATGTGTTGTGAAATGTCAATTCCAGAAATAACATTGTTCAGTTTATAAATATTATGTTATATTAATAATATAATTAATATATTAATATATGTTATAATTAACAGTAAAATTAATTAATAAAACCGATTACGATTAATTGGTAAAACTTAATAATTTGAGTACGACCGGAGATGAATTAAATTGTAGAGGTGTTGAATATTCGAGATATTTGGTTAATTTCCGATTCCGGAAATGATGTGTTTGGTTTATGAATATTTTGGTGTTGTGTGATAATGATTGAAAATGAAATAAATGATGTTTGTTGTGCAATATTGTGAGATTAATTCATAGAGTTGAATTATGGTGATGTATGCTTGCAATTAAGATAGAGGGATGTCTTGATTTGCATATTGTTGTTAATTGAATTGCACATCGCATCATAAGTCGTGTCAAGAGGCGATGTCTGTTAGTCTCGTGGAGGCTAGTGGCTCGTCCCAAACTCAGAGTGGGGGTTTGAAATCTTAGGGAATGGGCTTTTATGATTATCCGTCTGAGGGATAGACATCGGCAAGTCCGAAGGATAATAGATGATTGGTACCATATGCATGAGTCGTGTCGTTGTGTCGAGTGGCACGTACATATTTTATTGAGTTTATGTGTTGTTGAATATTATGCATTATATGCTAATTGGTAAATGAAATTGATTGTGTTTGTTTTCTTTGAGTTGTTGGATATGAGAATTTGATTAAATGAATATCTTATGTAGTTTATGTAAGAGTTGGAAAAAGAGTAAGATTCCTTTATTTAAAGCATTTCATTTGCTTTAAATTACATACTTTATGTTTTTTGGAATTCTTACCCTTCTGTTGGAAAATGCTTGCTTCGGCATTGTTCAGGTACCGAAGACGGTAGTGCGAGGCACTAGCTTAACGGATACATTTGGATTGTAATCCGTTTTATTTTGGTTTATCGAGTCGATGCTCTGGTTGTAACACTTGGGGGTTAGGTGTCTGCATTCGAACTCGTATATTTTGTATATGGATTATACTTGTATATAATCCATTATTTTGATTATATGTTAATGTATGTATATTATGACTTGATACACATGTTTGGTGTATGAACTGTATGGCTTAATGCCTTGAATTTTATATTTTGATTCCTCCTTTAGAGATGAAGTTATTATGATTCTGTTGCATTTACACGAAAAAGAAAGTATATGCCATGAATGTATTATGTGATTAAATGATTAAAGTGACGAATATGTCATGTCCGTTTTTCTTGAATATGTGAATTGATGTTGTGACACTCCTTCCGTGCAAATTTTATTTTCTCTGATTTTAATTATATCGTTTAATTCGGGGTTTATTAGAAGGGGTGTTACAATAGTGATATCAGAGCATTGTCGGTCAGTTGTCAGGTCTTAATGTTACTAATTCTATTGTATTTGATTGTGTATCTGACGCGATCAATACTTTTGTGTTGTTCAGAAGAAGATGGTAGATGGGAGGAATTATAATGCACTTGCTGAGGCATTACGATTGCTTGCTGGATACTTGAATCAGAGGCCGCAAGCTAATCCGGTGCCACATGATGGAGCTGATGATGCTTTTCGTGCTCTTGGAAAGTTTCAGAAAAACAACCCGCCTACTTTCAAAGGAGAGCATGCGCCCGAAGAAGCTCAAAAGTGGTTGAAGGCCATTGAAAAGATTTTCCGAGTGATGAATTGCACCGATGCTCAGAAAGTGCAATTCGGAACTCGCATGCTTGTGAAGGAAGCGGAAGATTGGTGGATTAACACAAGTCATAGGTTCGATGAAGAGAACATCGTGGTTACGTGGGCAATGTTCCGAGATACTTTCTTGGAGAATTACTTCCCCGAGGATGTCCGTGGTAAGAAAGAGGTGGAGTTCTTGGAGTTAAAACAAGGGAGTGGTAGCGTTGCGGAGTATATCGCCAAATTCCAAGAATTGATCAAGTATTGTCCCCACTATAATACGGTGAATGCCGGGAGATCTAAATGCTTGAAGTTTGTGAACGAGTTAAGGCCGGATGTGAAGAGAGCAATCAGGTACTAACAAATTACCTGCTTTTCTGAATTGGTGAACAAAAGTCGTATCTATGACGAGGATAGTCGTGATAGTAGTGCTTACTACAAGAGTTTAAGTGACAAGAGAGGCAAGGGAAAATGCGTCCTAAGCCTTATGATGGAAAAGGGAAGCAACCGATGAATGTGGGCAAGAGTCCAAGTGGGAGAGTTATTACTCCGGTGAAGTGCTATAGATGTGGAAAAGAGGGACACTGTGCTATGGAGTGTCTCCAAGTTGAGCCAACGTGTTTCAAGTGTGGGAAGATTGGTCACCGATCTAACGAGTGCAGGTTGGGTGCTAGTGTGACTTGCTACAACTGTGGCGAGCAAGGGCACATTAGTACAAAGTGCACGAAGCCAAAGAAGGAGCAAGGAAAATTGTTTGCATTGTCTGGTGTCGAGACTTTGGCGGATGAGAGGCTGATCAGAGGTACTTGCTTTATCCTTAATGTACCTTTGATTTCTATTGTTGATACGGGTGCTATGCATTCATTCATTTCATTAGATTGTGCTACTAGTTTAGGTATTGTGTTATCTAATTTGGGTAGAAGTATGGAGATAGATACGCCTGCGATGGGTTCGGTTTCTACTTCAGTCATTTGTTTGAAGTGTCCTTTGCGTATGTGTGGTAGATATTTCAAAGTGCATCTCGTATGTCTTCCTTTGAGTCAGATTGATGTCATTTTGGGTATGGACTGGTTGAGAGCCAACCACGTCTATATCAATTGTTTTTCTAAAGCCGTTCTTTTTCTCGAGTCCGAGAAAGAAGGCGTTGCGCTCTTGTCTACTCAATAGATGAAGAGGTGTGTTAGAGGTGGGGCTGAATTGTTTGTGTTGATGGCGAGCATGAATCTTGGTGATAGTGGAGTGAGAAAGGATGTTCCTGTTGTTTGTGATTTTCCGGAGGTGTTTCCGGAAGAGATTACAGATTTACCTCCAGAACGTGAAGTGGAGTTTTCTATTGATTTAGTTCCTGGTACTAGTCCTATTTCGATGGCTCCGTATCGAATGTCACCATCAGAATTGGTTGAACTAAAGAGCCAACTTGAAGAGTTACTTGATAATAAGTTCATTCGTCCGAGTGTTTCTCCGTGGGGTGCACCGGTGTTGTTAGTAAAGAAGAAAGAAGGAACGATGAGACTTTGTATGGATTATCGGCAGTTGAACAAAGTTACTATCAAGAACAAGTATCCTTTACCTAGAATTGATGATTTGATGGACCAGTTGGTAGGAGCTTATCTGTTCAGTAAGATTGACTTGAGATCTGGTTATCACTAAATTCCTGTGAAAGCAAGTGACATTCAAAAGACGGTGTTTAGGACGAGGTATGGACACTATGAGTATTCGGTGATGCCTTTTGGTGTTACGAACGCACCTGGTGTGTTTATGGAGTACATGAACAAAATATTTCATGAGTTCCTTGATAATTTTGTGGTGGTCTTTATTGATGACATTCTTATATATTCGAAGAATGAGAAAGAGCATGCCGAGCACTTAGGAATTGTGTTGACGATTTTGAAAGAGAATCAGTTGTTTGCTAAACTTTCTAAGTGTGAGTTCTGGTTGAAGCAAGTGAGTTTTCTTGGACATGTGATATCTCCAAGAGGTATCGCTGTCGATCCGACCAAGATAGAAGCTGTGTCTGAATGGGAATCTCCTAAGTCTGTGTTTGAGATACGAAGTTTCCTTGGTTTAGCCGGATACTATCGTAAGTTCATTGAGGGTTTTTCGAAGTTGGCTTTACCATTGACACAATTGACAAGAAAGGGGCAAGCACTTGTATGGACTACTCAGTGTGAACATAGCTTTCAAGAGCTTAAGAGAAGGATGGCTACTGCTCTTGTGTTGGTTTTACCGAATTCATCCGAACTGTTTACAATGTATTGTGATGCTTCATTGATGGGGTTAGGTGGTGTGTTGATGCAAAGTGGACAAGTGGTGACCTATGCTTCGAGGTAACTTAAGGTACACGAGAGGAATTATCCGACTCATGACTTGGAGTTGGCAG